TGAGGTACTCCGTCGTCGGTGCCATCCTTGTCGCCGTGAAGGAACTTTGGCCACGGAGGCAGCTGTCACATTTGGGCTCTCGAGCAATCGCTGTAGAACTAGTAGTAGTTTCTCCTCCCTACCAGCAGTACTTCCAGGGATAAAGCGAGTCGTTACCACGAGTACGCGATTATTGCTCGACCGATTTATTGTTCTGACGAAGCAAGCAGCGATTTTTGCAACCGGTTTTATTTAATCTGTGGTTCATTATCAATCAGAAAAGTGTCTACTACCACGTCAACTAACTCGTACGCTCTACGTTCACGTTCAGCTAGTCGTACGCGCACTGCGCATTCAATAACACCTTATATACCAGTATCATCACCTACTCGACCGATTTTACCATGAACAACCTGGTAGATCACTCCATCGATGCTGTGAATCACAGCTTTCGACCACAGAGCCCCAAGCTGAAGCTTGGGCTTGTAACATCCCTATTGGATAGAGGAAAGAAAACTGCTTAGATCGTGTACTTTGGATCGCAATTGTAATTTTATAGATTAATGTAATAGGCGAAAATATCTCTAAAAATGTTTAACTGTAGACCTGGTCTTCAACCCGAAAATGGAAAGCAAAATTTTCTTCAAGGATATGGGATTAGAGAAAAGAATTCTCCACAAGATAAGAGCGTTCTCTGTTTGCACACAACAACTGCAAACGAGTTGCAAGGCGGTATAATTCCCAGAGGTTCTTAATATGCCTCTACGAGATGTGGTAACTTCTTCTTGGTTTTTGCTGAATCGATGTTTCTCCACAACAACTTCATGTTTTTCCCTAAGGAAATCGGTGTTTTTCCACAAGTACTTCATGTTTTTACCTCAAGAAATCCAGTGTTTCTCGAGAAGAAATTCATCTTTTTACCTGAAGAAAAAATATCGAATTAAGGCTCTCACTATCAAATTTTATGCCACTGGGAGTGTCTGTGGATAGGAGAATAACATGTAACGGTTAGTTGCTTTTCGGAATGAAAATCCAACAAATCAAGAGTGAAAAAACTTCGCATTTCATCACATAAGAACTAGAGATAGGATTAACTCTTGACGGAACAACTGTTAGCTTTACCAAATCTTAATCGATGTGTATTGAATTGACTTGAACAGACTACACACACTTTCGCTTCTCTTCTTAAGAACCTTCGAGCAGTTACTGCGCACAAATATTCCTATTATTTATTTAAGAAAACAAGCAGTGGTGTCACTTGGATTACATACATGTCCCTACTGATACAAAACGGAAGACCAAGTACATCACGAACACGAGGGTTGTCGATATGAGAGCACAGATTTTTTAGATCTCTGCAAGATATGTGTTTAAAATGTCATTTTAATAAGTAATTCATTTGGAGAGATAAATTGCAGCATTCATATTATTTATTATGACTTTCAAACGAGCCTGACGAATTTTGTTATCTCTCCTGTTTCGAATTCAAATTTCGAATGCACAATGAAATAAAACTAAGTCTATGAAACTTGGATTGTAGTTCGAAGAATTGCTTTTGATTAAACTTATGAGCTACTTGATTCTACGTATGGAAAAGCGATGTAAATTGACAGTTTTGCTTCATTGTATTGCGTGTGAGTCTTTTCGAGAGTCCTTTATTCAATATAAACATAATTGCAAATGAAGCAAAATGTCCATCAATATCACTTTTTCATGCAACACTTTTTTTTAAAAAGAATCAGGTCGTCAGTTTCAGTTCTTTGAGTTTACAATCTTCAATAGTTACATTTCAGAAAGAAGCTCAGATCAAAATGACTTTTGAGCATTTGTTGTTGTCGGTACCCATTCTATCCATTCAGGTTTAATCTCGCCGACGAACGAAAGAACAGCTCTCGAAGGAACAGATGTTGAATAACGAATATCTCTTGCCAAAACGAGACCTACAGGTGACTGACTTATTGGACGTGCGAGAGTCGATTGCAAATCTAACACAGCAATTTCATCATTGTTTGAATCATATCGGACAAAGTGATGAGTTGGCCCTTTGAATTCTCGCAATGAAACGAAGATATTATTAGAATAACCAACTAATAACGATTTTGCGATCTGTTCCCAATTGTTAGATGCGACTTGTGCTCGATCCCGAAAATCCACTGATAGATTGAATGACGTTTCCAAATTAGTATAACGTTTTATAGCTTGCCTAACAATATGGTAAATATTGGGGGTCAAGCCTTTCGCTTGACAAACGTGTTCCAAGTTAAACTGATTTGGCGGTACAGAGCGTTTGACTAACAAAATGTTATTCATGACATTCAGCAATGTCATAAAATCTCCGTCAGGACTCTTCATGTCGTGCGGTAAATCTTTCAATATAGCTGTAGTATTCAAATCACTTAGAATCGAGGCGAGACGTATGAGATCTTGTCCACAATGGTATTTTTTTAGACTAGCTAATACTGCTTTTGACATCGCTAATGAGCCAAAATCAGGTAGTCGCGATAGGTCGCTAGCCTGTTTCGTAATCTGATAGCCTGGGCCTGGTTCCACAATACCTGTACGATAATGAACTTCGCTTCAGATAAATGATAACACAGTATCTTGAAAGAATGATGAGAATAACAGAGATGGGCAGCTTCGACTCCGGAGTAGGGATGACAAGTGTAAGTTGATTGGGAGTTAAGTTGATCCATCAACTTAACTTAAATGTACCAACCCTACTCCGGAGTTGGAACGGAGTCGGAGCGACTCTTTCTTTCGCTCTTCTGTAAACGGTGATAAATTAATAAATAAAAGGTTCAGGGGCCGAAGAGTGCTCGTTCTCTATTTTCAGATATCCGAATATGGAAATGATACTATGCAAAGTGACAAAATATCTGAAGTGTTAGAAATGGAGGATCCAATCATATTTTTTATCAGTACTCAACGATTAGAAATTCACGTAATGCAGTATATCGTCGAACGAACACTGAAGCGCGACAAGCACTTGCAGTATCGCAAAAAAGATGTAAAATGTTAAACGAAGTGGAGGCTGGAAAGGATCGATGTCAAAATACATCATGACTACGTACTACACAATTAGAGCGATACAACTTGAGAACAACTTCGCTCGACAGTTTGTGTTTAAAACTGAATGCTCTTGCATGAATGAGAGTGGATTTTCTATGGGTTGTCGTGCTCTATCAGCGATCATTCTCCTACTAATTGCATCATCATCCCTAACAATATCATCCTGTTAGATCAAATCATTACAGTTCTGTTTCAGTATTCAATGCAACATCATTACCTGATTTCGGTCGTAGTGGCTGTACTTTGACTTTGGGTACAGCAGCGGCAGCGCTAGGTTGAGTTTGTTTCGAGACATCTAAATAACAAGAGAACAGTCATATACAGCTACCCGTTCAACGCTGGTGTCTGTTTTTTTTCTACTTTCACCTCAATTGAAAATAATACACACGGATGAGTAACCTACGTGATTCTTCGGAGTGATCATCTGTATCATCATCGACTTCTGCTAAATGTACCAAATAAAGCTTTCCATGCTGAAATCCGATGCTTTTGACACGCAATCGAGTCCCAAAGGTCAATATAATCTCTTTCTCATTAGGAAACAGAGTGTAACCGGTAACATCTTTTCCATTGATAGCTTCAATCATAAAGAGCGTCGACTCTTCATTCTGTTTGATAAATCCTTTGAGGACATCAACCGATGTCGAACAAGAGCTAACACTCCACCAAGTTAATACGTCATTTTCCTTATAACCTTTTGTCACGTTTCCGCGTACCGCACGCCAAACGTTTCCTTTGACCGTGGGCAACTTGTTGATGGCTGTATCGAATAATTTGAGATATGCGAACCAAGGCTTAGCCTCATTTCGATCTTCTGTTCTCAATATCTGATTCAATATTCGATAGAAACTAAAATCATCGGCTTCCATCGTATACAAAAACAACGCAGCCGATTCATCTCGCGTGAGATAATGTTCGGATGGCTGGGTGCAGTGTTTTTTGGCTTCTTTGATAGAACGTTGTAGTTGATTGACTTCTGATAAGAAAGGCTTCAATGCTTCTTCGAGAGAAACCAGTCGGTAGGCCCAGTAGCCAGCAATCGGCTTAAGATTCTTGTTTTCAGCTTGAAATTCAGTAAATCGATTCATTTTGTTTGCGTTAGATATTTTACAATAGATAATCTACGACTTCTAGAATATAATTCACGTCTAAAGCAGTGTTCTTCTATACTCCAAGCTCTCTTTAAAAAAAACGATTTGGTAAGCAACAAACGACTATGCAAATGAAACACTCAAATACAGAATGTGAACTAATTTGTAATAGAAATATTCCATGCATCCCGATAGAAGCCATTAGCTTTAACGGAGTCTGACCCAAATCGGCTTCAATTTCAATTAGTACAGAATAGGGCCGACACTTTCTCTTTCCCATCTCCTCTTTTAATTAACAAAAGAAAAGTTTTTCTTTACCTTCACAATAAAAAAGAAGAAAGATATAATGCATATATTTTTCTCCAAAAAAAGAAAAGTAATATCTTTCCTTTCGCACGGGAAAGAGAAAGTTGATGTGTGATATCTTTTCTTTCCGAAAAAGCAGAAAAGAGTTGTTTCTTTCGCGAAAGAAAAAAAAGAAACGTGATAAAATGTTTTTGCTTAAGCTTTAAACGGCTTGAGCACATAAAAAATGCCCTTAATGAGATGAGTGTGATTTGAAAAATTGAGAAAACGTGATAAGACGACAGTGATAAAATGTCTAACTTCTTATCACTTTCTTATGAAATTCTTGTTTTGTAAAGCGATCTAAAAAATGCTCAAGAAGTTAAACTACGTTAGTAGTGCATCTGCGCGAAAGAAAGCACGAGAACGTATAAGGTCAATTAATCTCGAAAATATTCCATTATCAATAACTTGTCTAGCTTTTTATATAAATTAATTATGTACATGGAATTTCTTAGCCGAAAATGTAGGCATACTACAAATTTATGTAACACATTCAAATAGGAGTGGCACTTCTAGTTACTCGGTAACTTCACTAGTCAGTTACTTCATTACTTCTAATGAACTTAGTTACTTCTTTACTAGTAACGAGTAACTCAAAAACCTGCTGTGTGTTTTGAAAAACTCCATTGTCAATCGTGAATGTACAAATAAAAGTTGATGCTTTCAAGTCACAAAAGCCTTTCGAAACACCAAATATGTCATCAGCAATTATTCACAATCTGCTATGTTAAATTTTTGTGCTCCTCTCCTCCTCCGCGACATTTTTAACAATTAGTCGCGATTCTTGAAAAATCAAAAATGAATTGTGATTAATTGGCAATTCCGATGATTTTACTTTTTTTTAAAAATTGTCAATTAATTGCGATTAATTGTTGATTTTAAGCAATTAAATGGTTATTGTTATTCACCGTTTTATTTTACAGTAAGGTATGTATATAAGAAACACGATTTCAACGAGGAATACACTTCTATTGAGATTATCTTTTATTTTTTAGAGTAAAACGGAGTTATCAAGAGTCTTCTATCTATAGTCCCTTAGAGTTTTAAGCCGAGGAGTTCAGTGAACAGCTAGTACGTGAGCAATGTCTAAAATCGACTCGTCGGAAAGGCTCCGACTTCAAGTTGGTGCTAAGACTAGGGGTGGCGCTTTACCGTTTCTTTACAGGTAACGCAGTAACGCATGCGTTATTGCGTTACTGGTAACGAGATGCGTTTATTTTTCATAGCTTTTGTAACGAGTAACGCAGCGTTATTTGCGTTACTTTAACGCTTT